ATAAATGATATCTTTGATTCATCTTTTAAACTTTTAGGGAGACTTTTGTGCCTCTTATTTTCTCCTACATGTTTGTATCTCAGGGGAACGGTGAGGAGTTGACACAGAATTGGACTGCAGCTTATTTTGGCCATAAATAGCAACTTTTTTTTTTTTTAATGAAAGCAACACTTATAAATATTAATTTGAAGAACAAAACTTATGAGATACTTTAGTAGCAGTATACCCAGGATAATTTGTCTGTCATACACAACATACAAGATGTGTGAGTAAATAAAACCCTGAAGTAAAATACATTTTCTCCTCCACCCGTCTTACACATCTGCTTTGTACAGATCTTCTAAATCAAAAAGCCAGCTCCGTGAGAATACAGTATTTGATTGGAACTAATCAGGAGAAAAGAAAATCTTTCAGCAGCTGCTGAGGACATTTTACAGTATGAGGAAGCGAGCAGAGGGACAGTTGGACACACAATCCTGGGTAGATCAAGTGTGCACAGAAAAAGAAGGGTAGATACGGAGAAAAAAGGGGAGGAGAAAACTGGGAAGCAGCAAAAGGGAAATACAGTGAAGCATGAGGCAGAGAGAGAAACAGCATTTGAGAGGAGTAGGAAGAGGAGGCTGAAGGAGAGACACTTGATGAGTCATGTGTTTAAAAAGAAAGAGAGTTTCAGCTGTAGCATCTTAAAAAGGAGCAGAGTGCCATTCTGAGGGAGGAGGGCAGCATCTTGGCTGGCAATGCTTTTCCTGTGACTTTGTCTTGCAAGTAGTTTTGACAAGCCGAATGAGTGAGGAAGGTGCAGCACACTCGCTCAGTCTCTCACATGCTGAGGCCAAAACACTGAACTTGGCCGGCTGCACACAAACAGGAGGACAAATGCAGCTTCAGGCTCCCACAGACACAGATGAGATGAAGGTGAGTACAGAAATGACTGCAAACTTTCAAAAATACACAAAACTTTAACTTGGTTTTCTCAACTGGAGCTGTTGTCGTTTCCAGTTTCACCAGAACTGGACAAGATTGTGTGATTCTTCAACGTACCGTAACTCTTTTTGTTGGATTCTGTTGAGTTTCGTGTAAATTGTGAGTTAATGAGTTTTGGTCGTCTCCCTGAAGTTGCCTCATTCTGCTCGGTGTTCGTTGCACATGTTTTTGGGCAAAACATGATGTGAGCTGTCTTCCAAAGAGGCTTGTTGGCAGCTGTGTTTTTAATAACTGGATCGAGTGAATGGACTGTAGACACACACAGTTCTGGACTGGCTGGTCTGGAGAAGTCTTGTTATTCGTGTGTAACCTTAACCAATCTGAGCCACGCCTGTTAGAAATTATGTTGAACTCACCTCACACATGAGGGTAAAAGGTCACAACTTCAAGGATTAGAGATCTGGTTGCATTTGTGAAATTCTTAAAAACGTTAATAATAAGCCGGCTGTTGAAATGAATGGAAAATAGCTGCACTTATGTTAAAGTTTTAGACTGCTTTTTATTCTTGGCCAGTGTTTTGTTTCACAGAAACAAAGGCTTTCTTTTGTTTAAATGTCCCAACAGCTTACAGGTTCTTTTAGTTACCTCTAATAAACAAAAAGTACAACAGTTTGTTTCCTTAAAATAATCATAGCATTCTTTGAAGAAATACAAGTCACCTGCAATTGTTCATGCCAGAGTCTTAGTATCTGTTGTGAAAGACATTCAACTTCTGCGCGATGGCCAACTTTTAGCTAAATATCTGTAAAATTCAGAGTTATACTCATTTTTGTTCTATTAGCTGTGACAGCCATCTTACATTGGGTTGTCTCTAAAATTTAATCTGTCTATATAGCCAGGGATTATTTTCTGAAAACTTTATTGAAGTTCATCAAGTGGTTCACGAGACATTTTGTTAAAAATAAGAGTTGATCCTGACTTAGTGGATTAGTAAAAACACAAAACATTTTCTCGTTTTAATTAGCACTCAGAATATACATTGGGGATGACACCTGGCTACTCCTGTGCTATATTTTGTTCAAGTTTAAGTTTCTTTGTTGTCATTCTCATCACATGTGGTACATGAAGTGGAACGAAATTATGTGCTCAAAGTCCCAATTACACCCAAAAATAGCAACAATATAAAGAATATAAAGAAACGGTAAATAAGGATCTAAAATATACGCTAAACACTGATAATGTATTTTTTATTATTATTTCGGCTTCTCCCTTCTTCAGGGGTCGCCACAGCGAACTTGCATGAAGACACGGCAATTATTTTTTACGTCGGATGCCCTTCCTGACACAACCACAGACCACCGAGCTGCCACAGCCCTCTGTGTGGAGCAGAGAGCTGCTATCTAGGGCACCCGAGGGAGCAGATGATGGGGGTTAAGAGCCTTGTTCAAGGGCCCAGAGTGGTGCAAATGAGGGTGGAGGCAGGTGTGGGTGCTTCACCTATCCCACCCACATTTTGATGTTGTTAGTGCTGGGAGTTGAGCCAGCAATCTTCCGATCACAGGCCCACCTTCTATAACCTCTGCGCCACCACTCCCACTTATTAATGTAAAATAATACAGTATATTAATTAGCTTCCGGAACATGAGTCTGTAGATGGTATGAATGAATACAGCAGCATGAGATCAGCAGCATGGATAATCAGCAGTACAGATAAGTCACATATCACCAACTAAAATGGCATTACAGTGATTTTCCTGGTTAGAGATTCATGAGTCTAACAGCCTCAGGGTAGAAGCTGTTCCTGAGTCTAGTGGTTCTACACTTAATGCTCCTCAACCTCCTGCCTGAGGGGAGCAGGTCCTGAGTGGTCCTTTTGGCTCTTTATCTTGAAAATTCATTGACTTATAATCATTTTTCTGTTTCCTAAATCAGTTGGCTGAGGCAGCCATCTTCAATTGGAGGAGTCCGTAAGTTTTTCAGATATTAATGTGGCAGCTCAGCGGTCAGTGCTGCAGTCTTGTAATTCTGGGGCTGAAGATTTGAGTCCAGGCTGTGTTAGGAAGGGCATCAGATGTAAAACAATGGCTAAATCTTTCATGTGAGTTTGCTCGCTGTGGCGACCGCTGCAGAAGAGAGCAGCTGGAAGAAAACCACCAACAGCAACAACAGACAGACAGATGAACTCTTGCACATCCACAGGCCAATACATTATCGCTCCTCCCTCCCCTTCAGCAGGGTGATAACAAGAGGGATTCATGGAATATGTAGACTATGAGAAAGAGCCAAATGAGATAAGAATGAATGATGTGAGGATGTCCAGATCGAACCTCCCCCATGTTTCTGTGTCATACTTCCCAGCAAAATATCTGACTTTTCTTATCTTCATATCATTTTTTAAGAAGCTGAAAGAAACAAACTCTGTAGAGAATTTGAAGACACAAGTTTAGCTTATAATTGACTGTTGCCATAAGGAAAATATTTATCGGGAAATAAATTATATTATGAATCACTGGACAGATTTTAATGAAATTTGCAGAGATTACATATTGGATGTTTTTCTATACCAGATTATTTTTAGAGTCAGCCTATTACAAAATGGCTGCAACCACCAACTGAGCTGAAGCAAACAAATAAAACAGTCTATAACAGCCTATTTTACAGATATTCAGGTGGAAATTATGTTTTAGTTGTTGAGACTGATCCCCAACACATATTCTGAACATTAGTAGATTAAGATTAGGTTTAAATCTATAGTATTCAGTCCTGGTCCTCTGGAGCCACTATCCTGCATCTTTTACACATTTCTTTACTTTGATTAAAAGACTTCTGCAGAACTTAACGATGTGCTGAAGAGCAGGTTAACAAGTAAAACATGCAGGATAGTGGCCTTTAGAAGACCAGGATTGGGCACCCCTAGTTTAAACATTTGCCAATACCAAATAGAGCCAGACCTGGCTGTTTGTTAGCTAAATATTCCAGAAAGCTCTGCAAAGGCATTAACAAAACTTTTAGAAAATAGTTATTGGATGTACCTCTACACCTGTTAGCATGAACCCAATTCAAGATGGCGCCAACACCAAAGTGAATTTCAAAAATACAAAAATGGTTCTGATGTTGTAAAATATTGGTGTGTTGACAGCTGACAGTCACTTACAACACATTCTAAGAGCTCCTCTTTGTCTGAGATTTTTGTTTAAAACTTTAGCTGTAACTGCACTGTCTGGCAGAAAACATCCCATGAACCACAAGACCGATTTTAACAAATCTCTCAAAAAGTAATATTTGAATGTGAACCCCAACAACACCCAAAATATGTACATAACTCAGGCAAAGATGCAAATACTGTGCTCAGTTTAATGATATCTCAACATAAAGGCATCTTCTGGCATGAACGAGTGATGTGCATGTCTTCAAGGTTAGCTAGGCCTTTAACTTTTATTGTTTTTGCACACCCCAGACAGATATTTTTATAAACATTACTTGCTTTGGCTGCAGACATTTTCCAGACAGTTGTCTGTGGTGAAAATCTGCTCCAGCCACTGACTCCAAACTAATGCTAAGGTCAACTAACAGTGATTGTTGGATAAATTCAGCTTCGGAGCTAACTCTTTCAGATCTATGCAGGCAGGGTGTTCTTTTGTTTGGAACAGACTTGTTTCTGTGTGTGTGCTGCTACGGGAGTTAATTGAATTATATGATGTATTTAACACCCGGGGGATGACTGACATCCCAGCTGAAACAATTACTGTGTGATGCCACAAGATCAGGATCAGAGAATAAGATGCTTAAGCTGGAGTTGTAGCAACGTGCTGTCAACACTGTTGCTGAACACAAACTCGGGCATTCAGCAAACACCAGAAAGACACAGCAAACAGTATTGTCTGTGTATTTTATCCACCGTCTGTGTGGTTATGTAGGTTTTAAGGCTTAGTGTTTTCTATAGAGTTTGTTTTTACTACCTCCAACAACAGACGTAACAGCAGACCTTCACATCATGACTGACGTTGGAAGCGCAGACCCTTGGAATATTAATTATTCCTCACATTTTTCTTGCTCTGTTCTTTCTCCTTCCTCAGATGGACCCGGTGCAGAAGGCAGTGATCAACCACACCTTTGGCGTTCCTCTGGTCAAGACGAAGCGGCCGATCATCTCCTGCAACGTTTGCCAGATCCGCTTCAACTCAGCGGTAAAGCCAAATAAACAATAAGCACATAAAATCACCTTCTGTTTCGGGTTCACATTGTTCCAAAACACATAATCAGTTGTAGTTTAATGTGAGAACATGATCTCTGTCGCTTTTTGTAATCAGGTTTGGAAGTGTGAATTTAAATGTGTTGACAAAAAAATGCCTAAAAACCAAGACATCAGTAATGTCAGTAAAACAAATGTTGGTTCCCATCAATCCATACAGGTGTCTGTAATTGTACTATTAATAATATGTATTACAAGTAGTGAACTAGAGAGTTTGCATGCAGGGAAACGTCCCAGCAAGCTCAGCCAAAGGTCAGGTTGTGCAATGAGTAACTGTAAAACCCAAGAGCCACATCTGAGACTCTACAGGCCTCAGTCAGCATGGCAGCTCAGATCAACGGGAAAAAAAACTTATTTTCTCACAGAAGAACACAATACCACGTTCTGAGGTTTGTAAAGTTGGACTTGAACAAACCAGAAGATTTCTGGAACAATGTTCTTTAAATAGACCAGACCAAAGTAGTTGTATGGCCATAATGCACAGGACCATGTGTGGTGAAGACCAAACACAGCATGTCAGCCCAAACAGCTCAGCTGTTGCAGAGCACAGCGGTGGAGGATTGATGCTTTGAATTTATTTTGCAGTCCCAAGAACAGATACACTCTGAGGTCTTTGAGTTGATCTTGAACTTCTTTATACATTATAATATTGTAGAGGCACCAGATCAATGTGGATTCAATTCACCCCATGAGAGCACAAACTTGAGATTTTGCTTCTGCCATTTCTGGCTTTAAAACAACTTGTTGTCACTCTCAGCAATACATTTTTAGTTACAAACCGAAAATAAGTGTTGAATGAAACCCCCGACTTTGAGTTCAGCCAGTACACCAGCTTGCTGATCAGTTAACATTCAGCTGTGATGATGTAAAAGAAATATAAAGTCAGTCGTAAAAGTGGCAAAACACTGCTTTGTCTTTCTTTTATAGTATTCAATGATTCAAGGTTTTTATTTGTCATTCGCACCACATGTGGTGGAACAAAATTGTGTACACGGGGTCCCAGTTACGGGCAGCACGGTGGCGCAACTGGTAGAGCTGCTGCCTCTCAGCGAGCAGGTCCCTGGTTCAAACCCCGGTCCAGGGGCCTTTCTGGGTGGAGTTTGCATGTTCTCTCCGTGCATGCGTGGGTTTTCTCCGGGTACTCCGGTTTCCTCCCACAGTCCAAAAACATGCATGTTAGGCTGATTGGTAACTCTAAATTGTCCCTAGGTGTGAGTGAGAGAGTGAATGATTGTTTGTCTCGTTTGTCTCTATGTGGCCCTGTGATGGACTTGCGACCCGTCCAGGGTGTACCCCGCCCCTCGCACAGTGATTGCTGGACATGGGCACCAGCGACCCCCGTGACCCAAAATGGAATAAGCGGGTAAAGAAAATGGATGGATGGATGGGTCCCAGTTACATACAGCAAAAGTATACAATGTAAAAGAAAAACAGTAATAAGATCTAAGACATGACTAAGAAAAACGTTAACTAAAAATACACTAAGCACTAGTAGTACAAAAACAATATGCTGGACAGCAGCACGAGCATGAGTCTGTGTGAGCAGATGAGTACGAATGAACATTATGATTCAGAAATTAGAGTAAAACACTTTGATCAGTCTAAATCTATGCTAAACAACCACAAATTTGTTTTCAGTGCGATAACATTATGCGACTACTTTTAATACGTCTATGGGGAAGACATAATTGGTAACCAAATTAGTATATTCTGAATTTTGCCCAAAAGTGGGTCATGCAACAGAAATACACCAGAATGGCTGATAAAGAGATTCATTTTTAAAGCGAACCTCAATTTGGTAGAAGTTGGACCTTAAAGCTGCATATTAATAAACACCTTCAAACCTGAATAAACTGAAGCCGTATTATAAATAAGAGTTGGCCAGATTTCTCCCTCAGCTATACAGGACATACAGTGATTGCTTCAAGATATAACTACCATTCTTCCTAAAAAAAAAAAAAAAAAAAACTATTAAATGAATGAAATAAACAGTTTCTCATACACTAGCTCTGCACAGATGTTTAGTTTTTGTTCAATTTAAAATGATCTAGAATTATATTGTCTGTTGTTTGCGTCTAAAAATTTCTATTCCTATTTTTAAAAGCTGGAAAGGGCTAATTTTCTCAGATTCTTTAAATTAGTTTGTACTTACCTATACTATAAAAGAGAGAGAGAGAGAGAGAGAGAGAGAGAGAGAGAGAGAGAGAGAGAGAGAGAGGGTTTTATTTGTCACTGAAACTTGTTTCCTCTGCATTTTTCCCTGTGGAATATTCTGAAGGGCTCTCTCTGTTCTGGTTTGCCCTCCCGAATAGAGGATGTGCATTCTTCTGCTCCATGTTTTGGCTCTTTCGACCCCACTGGAATTTATTTCAAGACGGTTTAGAGTCCAGCTATATGCTCTGCAGCATTAAACAATAATAAGATCTTAAGCATGTCGGGATGATTGATACAAACAAGACTATGTGAGAACATTTTTTGATTTAAATTGAACAAACTATGATTTTTTTTTAAGTCTGCAGAAAGCCATCTATACATTTTCCATCTGTTCATGAGTGCTGATGAAACAACTTATCTCTAGACAAACAGGATGGACACATGACGACTTCAACACTAAATGTCATGTGTGCAAAGTATAATTTGGGTGGGAACTGAGGGCTCTTCTGTGCAACCAAACACAATACACAACATTAAGGAGTGGGCCAGCACTATATATACACTGCATGTCTGCAATCATGGTTTCTGTGTGGTCAGGGAGCAGCAAGGCTGTAATCTTCTTTTTGTAGAGTTTGCTTCTTTGTTTTTTTTTTTTCACAAGCAACAGGAAACAGTTATGCATGTTTATATATAAAATATTTTGAGACCCACAGCTATCGATCAAGTCCTGGTTTGTTTAGTTCAGCTGCCTTGCTGGATATAGTTGTATATAGTTTAGAGTAAAAAACGATTGATGAAAGTTTTCACAACTTAAAATGGTTATCATTTTGAGGAAAATGATCAATTGATAATGCAAGCTTATAATTTTGAATATAATAGCTAATTTGAAAAAAGTAGCTATTAGTTATAAATAACTGATGTAACATACTGCTTTTACATCACATTACACTCATTTATTTTTCTTTTCTTTTTTTTTCCTGAGAAAATGCTCGGGAAAAGGGAGTTTTTTTTCCTAAGAGTGGTTTACATTAACTAACTTAAATTCCTGAGCAATTAAATGACATAACCATGTAAAAGTATTGATAATTAGAGATATCTTCTGAATACCAGACCCAACATTATGTAACAGTCACAGCATACTTGAGAAGAAAACCTAATGGACCTCATATGATCTTTGCAATAATATAACAGTATATATTACAAAGAAATGGAAAACAAGTAATGTGAAATCAAGCTCCTCCATGTCACAAATATTTAACTCTTTCTTCTTCTTTCAGCTTTTCCCTCATCAGGGGTCGCCACAGTGAGTCATCCTCTTCCATCTCTCTGTCCTCTGCATCCTCTGTCCTCGCTCCATCTACCTCCATGTTCTCTCTAATTACAGCCATATATCTCCTCTTTGTTATTTTTTCTGGAAGCTGCATTTCTAACATCCTTCTACCAATATACCCACTGTCCCTCCTCTGGACATGTCCAAACCATGTCAGTCTTGTCTCTCTAACTTTATCTCCCAGTTGTTCAACCTGTGCTGTACATCTGATGAGCTCGTTCCTAATCTTATCCATTCTGTCACTCTTAAGGAGAACCTCAACATCTTCATTTCTGCCACTTCCAGTTCTTTCTTCTGCCTTTTTGTCAGTGTCACTGTCTCAAGACCATACAACATAGTTGGTTTCACCACTTTCTTGTAAACCTTTCCTTTGACTTTACTGCCACTCTTTTGTCACAAATCATTCATAAAACTTTTTTTCAATTCAATTCAATTCAGTTTATTTATATAGCGCCAAATCACAACAAAGTTGTCTCAGTGCACTTTACAGGAACATTCACATACCTAAAAGCCAATTAGTAAAGTTCTCTATCTAAGGAATCCAGCAGACAAGTTGAATCTTGGCTTTGTTGCAGTCTCCCATCCTGAGCAAGCACAGTGGCAACAGTGGAAAGGAAAAACTCCCTTTTAAAAGGAAAAAACCTCCAGCAGAACCAGGCTCAGGACAAGCGGACATCTGCTTTGACTGGCTGGTTGAGAGGACAGGAAGGAGAGACAGATGGACATTGAATGGTAGGTCCAGGTATAGGTCCAGGTGTATCTGAAAGACAAAGAAAACACATGTTATGGATAGAAAAAATAATTACAAATACAAAACAGGTTGAGCAAGTAAGTAAAGACAGCAGTAGAGTGACAATTGTGGTCAGTTTGTCCTCCAGCAGTCTAAGCCTATAGCAGCATAACTAAGGGACAGTTCAGGAAAACCAAGCCGACCCTAACTATAGGATTTAGCAAAAATTAAAGTCTTAAGCCTAGTTTTAAAACTGGATAATGTGTCAGCCTCACGGACAGAGATTGGAAGTTGGTTCCACAAGAGAGGAGCCTGTTACTGAAGAATCTGCCTCCCATTATGTTTTTGTAAATTCTAGGAACCACAAGTAAACCTTCAGTCTGAGAGCGAAGTGCTCTGTTAGGAAAATATGGAACAATAAGATCTGTAATATAAGATGGAGCCAGGTTGTTGAGAGCTTTGTAGGTTAGAAGTAAGATTTTGAATTCTATTCTGGACTTGACGGGGAGCCAATGGAGAGAAACTAAAACTGGAGAAATATGATCTCTCCTACTAACTCCAGTTAAGACACTGGCAGCAGCATTTTGGATCAACTGAAGACGTTTTAAAGAAGTATTTGGACACCCAGATAATAAACCATTGCAATAGTCCAGTCTAGACGTGACAAATGCATGGACCAGTTTTTCTGCATCATTTTTAGATAAGATGTTTCTAATTTTAG